TGGGGCTTAGACAACAGAAACTTATTTTCTTACAAGTCACGTTGAAGATCAAGATGTTGGTAGGTCTGGTTTTTCCTGAGGCTTCTCCCTCTCACTGTTTTCTGACATGGCTTTTTCTCCTGTTTGCATCCCTGGTGTCCTTTTCTCTTCTTATAAGGACACCAGTCATATTGCATTAAGGCCCCAATCAGGGCCTAAGTTTAACTCAATCACCACATTGAAGGCTCTGTCTCTAAATGTAGTCACGTGAATTAGGGTGTACTCATATGATCTCACTGTAAGCTTAATCATCTCTTTAAAGGTCCTTTCTCCAAATAAAGTTATATTCTGAGGAACTAGGGATGGGACTTCAACTTGTGAATTTGGGGGTGGCACAATTCAGCCCATAATAGTTCCATACTTTGAGGGCCACTCGTCTAAAGAGTATAACAGACACACATGAAGGGCATGCCCTGGACAGAAACCCCATGAGGGCAATCATTCACTTGTGCCGACAAATTAAATATGTTCATTGAATCTGCTCATGGATGATGCCTCTCACTCCAAGCCCTCGGTGCTGACCAGAGCAGGACTCAGACTCAGGACCAGCTTGCTCAGATCTGGGGCCTTGCAGATGCTTCCAGATGTCGACTATACTCTTTTCTCTACCCTTTCTCTGAATTTTGGGGCTTACCTCCATAAAGCCAAGAAAACTGATATTTCCATGATTTTACTCATGCAATCCAAGAATCAACCCATTGCATACAGAAATAAGATTGCCTCCTAAGAGCTAAACTATAATAGTGTATAAAAATAGATCAGGGTAAACATGAGGGTCACCTTACAGAGAAAAATGGCTCCCTGCCCTAGTCCTTTCAGGCTGCAATAATAAAAACATCATAAACTAGGTAGTTTGTAAACAACAGAAATTTACTTCTCATAGTTGTAGAAACTGGGAAGTCCAAGATCAAGGCACCAGAAAATTCAGTGTCTAGTAAGGATCCACTTCCTCATAGATAGACATCTTCTCACTATGCCCTCACATGGCAGAAGGGGCAAGAGACCTATCTGTGGCCTCTTTTATAAAGACACTAATGCCATTTATGAGAGTTCCACCCTATGATCTAACCACATCCCACATTTCAATACTATCACTTTAAGGGTTAGGATTCACATATGAATTTGAGGACACAAATTTCCAGACCATAGCAGTCCCAGACCTACAAGTCTTGATTTTCAAAAAATTGAAGCTATTTTAGACACATTAAATGAGTCTGAAAGAAGGTAAAGTGGTCTTAGAGACATAAGGGAAAGGGAGCTCCTAGCAGCTAACAGTGTTGGGCCCATCTGAGAAGCATCCAGGGACCAGGGAAGAATTTGGTCATTTCACCTCGAATACCAATCCACTTGCTGATGTCTCTTCTCTGAAGACATATGCACTGGGACATGCGAGTAGAGCTGATGACATGAAATATTTGAGTCATATCCTATCCCTTATCCTTGCCTTATGGTCATCAAGCAACCTTCTGATTATTTGGTTTCTTATGCACATAACATGTCTCAGGGAGAGCATGTCTGGTCACGCCAATCAAGAATATGATCCCCTGGCAATTATAGTAAATAATTAGTAAATTATTAAGCTGGTGTCCACATCAGCCTGTGGAGAGTTTTGTTCATGTAAGAAGTCGCCCCAGGAATCTTCAGTCAACTCAGAAATACCAACGAGATGTCAGTTTCTAAATTTTGGAGCCCAAAGAGCCAAACTCTGATTTTCCCAGGTATATGCCATCTTGTAAAGCGTCCTAGTGACCAGTTACCCAATTGTGTAGCACCCTGGATAGATAACCCTGACAAGATAACTGAGACATTTTGTGGTTGATCAATAAGACCACATTTAAAGGACAAGTGAAGCATAAAGCAAAAGGGACAGGCTTCGGACATAGATAAATTTGTGTTTAAATCCTGGTTCTACAACTTACCAGCTTTGTTACTGAACCTCTGAATCTCAATTTTCTTATTTACAAAATGGGAGAAATGCCTGTTATATATCAGTGGTCCTAAAAGTGTGGACCCTGGGTAACTTGGTCAGTTTGAGTTGCTGTATATAGATTGGGTGGCTTATAAATAACAGAAATTCATTTCTCACAGTTCTGGAGGCTGGAAAGTCTAAAATGGAGGCACCGGCAGATTCGGTGTCTGGTGAGGACTTGCTTCTCAGTTCATAGACTGCCATCTGTCCACTGTGTCTTCACATGGTGGAAGAGGCAAGGGAGCTCTCTGAATCTCTTTTATAAGGGCACTAATCCCATCCATGAGGATGCTGCCCTCATGACCTAATCACTTCTCAAAAGTCCCACCTCCTAATACCCATCACATTGGGAATTAGGATTTCAACACAGAAATTGGGGGTTGCGGGGACAAACACATTTGGTCTATAGCACCAGATCAGCAGCAACCACACTTCCAGGTGCTCATTAGAAATACAAATTATTGATCTGCTCACAGCCTAGACAGAAGCCAGAACTATGACAACCAAGCCGAATGCCCTTCAGAGCCCTCCCCACAGGCAAGAAAACAACTGTATCCAGCACTTGAGGCTCCGTGCAGGAGTGTGTGAGGGGATTGCAGCTTTTTCTGGTATCCTTCCCAGGCTAGCCCCTCAGCCTCTGCACCCACCTGGAGGGAACCAGGTGCTAGGGAGAGCAATGCATGCAGGGCTCCCAAGCGGGTAGGGGGTGCCCAGAACCGGTCCCTGCCCTCCCCCACACCATCCACTCTCAAGAGCTCTGAGGGAAAAAAAAAAAAAAGAAATGCAAATTCTTAAACCCTATCCCAAACCTAATGAATCAGAAGCTCTAAGGTGGAACCCAGCAATCTTGTTTTAACAAGACTTCAAGAGGATTCCGATGCTCACTAAAGCTTGAGAAGTACGATACAGGTTGTTGTGAAAATTAGAAATTGTGTGTACTAAGTATTTAGTACAGCACCTGGCACAAAAGTAGAAACTCAAGACAATTGTGTGGCTATTACTAGTACTACAACAGGAAATTTGGAGAATGAAGGGTTCTCCCATGATCTCACCCCCACTAATAACTATTAATTTCATTTCTTACTTGGTCAAGAATGCATATTTTAGACCTATAGTCAAGATCCTTGTATTTGTTCAATTTTTATAGATTTTCCTTCTTAATTTAGCAGCATAGGTACTTTTGCATATGCCACACAGTCTTCAAATTTCAGTGGCTGCCTATCATTCCATCAAGTAGAAATGCCATAATTTATGTAATTATTTCCTTAAGTTTTGACCAATTATGCTGCTTCCAATTTTTCAAGAGAGATGTCTGGCATACAATTTATTCCTTTCCTTGGAACATTTCAAACTCCTAAACAGAAGAATATCATGTCATGGAAAATAAATTTGTGTGAGCATCTTTATGTATGATCTAGAAACACTGGGTATGCCTAATGACGGCCTCCAACTAGAAATGGTGTTCCTTGGTATTTTATTAGGCAGAAAAATAGTCTCTACTATTAGAAAGTTTTTTAATTACTACCAAGTGTGAATATTTATAATTACTAAAATGCAATGTAACTAAATTAACTGTTATTTGAGTAGCTCACAGAAATTCACAAGTATTCTCTGTAAATCCATATAAATGATCTTTTTCAAATCATAAAACTTGTAATTCTGAATTGTTTGAAACTGATGGATTTCTGCATCCTTTTACATAAGAAAATATGTAAATAAACAAAATTGAAAATAGATTCCTTTTACAGTCTTGTGTCTGAATATTTAAATATCTGGTGAATTTTACTATTGATATGTAATTCTAAATCATTCCTTGTATTAAACTGATATATGCGATATATGAAAAAATTTGAAAACAACATAACATTAATGTTTATATTATCAGAAAGACAAGTATGTATCGTGAACAAGTATGTACTACGAATAAAAATTAAAATAATATTTAACTGTAGTATAATAAATTTAAACATGTTAGGGATTGAGATATTTATGTCTGCTTCTGAATTACTATGCTGAGAATAAATATGAGCTGAAAGATTAGTATTTTTGTTGTTGTTGTTGTTGTTGTTGTTATTGCTAGTAAGAAAGACACTGTTTGGTAATGCAGTTTGGTGTGATTATAATTGGACAAATACTTACTACTAGTTGTGGTTTTGCTGTGGTTCTGGAATTGTACACTTTGTTTATCCTTATGAAAAGGAGGGATCTTGAATTTTTCATTTTCATTTTCAAATTCAAGTTTCAGGCAAAAACTATGAACTTCAGTTCCAAACGGTACTAAATTATAGAAAATATTAAAACCCAATAAAATCAAGAGATATGAGATCGAATGAGATACTTCAATAGTTTTCTAAAACTAAGGTCAATTTATAAAACCAATAATATTTCTTCATTCCAGCCATAATCAAATAAAAAATAAAATACTCTTCACAATAAAGCATTTAATGTGAATAATATTTTAAAATTCTATAGGACATAAAATAAAGTATACGAAAAATATTAAGGAGCTCGATCATGTTCATGAATGTGATAACAACATAGTAAAGATGCCAATTTTCTCCAAATTAATTTCCAAATTTAGTATAATCCTGAACAAAATTTCTGGTTTGAAGAACTTGATAAATTTATTCTAAAATATATATATTAGAATAAAAGAACATAGATAACCAAGTTAACTCTGAAAAAGAAGAGCAAAAAGGGAGGACCTACTCTACCAGGTATTAGCATATATCGCAAAGCCTTAGTACTAAAAATAATGTGGTGCGCACAGAGTAAGAAATATGTAAACTTAATAGAACAGAGCTCGGAGATATGCATAGAAACATACATACACACAACATACACACACACAAAGGCACTTGATTTGTAATAAAGACGGGTACCACGAAGCACAGATTCCTTGTATGTTGTTGCGTATACTTCTCACCACCTTAAATGTTACTGCCCTGTCCAAACCGCCGTAATACCTTACCTTAATTCCTACAAAAGTGTCCCAGCTGGTCCTCTTGCTTTCTCTTTTGATCCCTTCAGTTTATTTAACAGTGATCCTGTTAAAATATAATAAAATTATGTTGTGTTTTTAACTTTTATTTTTCCCAGCTTTATTGGGATAAAATCAACATATGACATTGTGTAAGTTTAAAGAGTACAGTGTTGACTTGACATACACATTGCAAAATGATTACCTCCATAGCATTCATGCTTGTGTTTTTAAATATCAACAACTTGTCTGAAGACCTTTCTATGTCAATCAAATTAGGCAGAGAATAATAGCAGTAATTATTGCACACTTCCTATTATTAAACACTGTTTGATTTACACATCTTAACTTATAATCTTCACAACAAACCTATGAAATAGGCACTCTTATTCCCCCCATTATGAAAGAGGCACAGAGGTAAAGTGACTTACCAAAGGTCATAAGTTACTTAAATTCTCTGTGTTGAGGCAGAGTTGAGATACGAACCTTGGAATTCTGGTTCCAGAATACTTGAGCAACATTTGCAGTACAGAAAGATTTGTTTACTAGACTTTTTTGATCTTCACGTGGTTTTAATAATTAACTCATGATATTCGTAATTGATTTTACAGCTGTTATTCAATTTTATGGTAGGAGGGAATGATTACAAAATTTATTACAAAAATCCGGCACATTGCCTGACTTTTTCCCAGCTTTCTGATGTCTGCCCCCTTTCTACCACACTATTCTTTACATTATTCTCTTCTGTAGTATGCGCAAGAGATCCTTCCTTTGTTCCTTGGTTCATTCACCGATTCCATGGAAGGTCAAACTGACAAGGAGGCCTGTACATTCCAAGGCTGTCCTGCCACCAGGCTGTGATGCAACAGCACAGGTGTGGCAGTTGGACACATCACTGGCTTTTGCTGGAGCTGAGCAAGGTTGGAAAGGTAGGGTAGTGCAGGCAATAGAGCTGACGTGAGCTGAGGGGATTCAGTTTGCAGGACTCGGCTTGAAGTGAGCTGGCAGTAACCCCAAAAGCTGCTATAAACTTTAAAGCAAGAAGAATAATGCAAAGTGTAGTATGGACTGCAGGAGGTGGGATGTGGGAGGTCCGGTAGGGAGGAAGGGAACTGATAATATATTTGCTATTGACAAAAGACATTATTTTTCCAGTTTTATTGAGATACAATTAACATATAAAATTGCATAAGTTTAAAGTGTACAACAAAATGATTTGATATATGTATATATTGTGAAATGATTACCACAATACATTTAGTTAACATCCATCACCTCACATACTTACAATTTTTTCTTGTGATGAGAACTTTTAAAATGTACTCTCATAGCAACTTTCAAACATACAACACAGTATTGTCACCTAGAGCCAGCATGGTGTTAGGACTCAGAACTTACTGATAACTGGAAGTCTGTGCCTTCTGACCCCCTTCATTCATTTACCCCTCCTCCCACCCCACCCAACAGACATTATTTCATTTAAAATTTAACAAGCGTGTCTCAAGAGCCTTCTAGAATTATCATAGATAATATTAGTTGAATGTTCTATGCGTGTGTCAGACACTGAGCTATCTACTTGACCTGCGTTTCTCATTTGATCCTAAAATAACCCTGTGGTAAAGGGAATTACTATCTTCATTTTATAGATGGAGAAACTAAGACTCAGAGGGTCTAAGATATTTGCTCATACTAGAAAAAAAGAGAAATAAGAATTTGAATTCAAGTCCACTGCAAAACTTGGGCCTTTTTTAAAAACAAATTCATTTAGTAATGAAAGATTTGCTCATTAGAAAAACTAAAGTACAAGGGGCAATAGAGTAATCAAGGATAACAGAGTGAACACCTATGTCCCCACTGCCCAACTTAAGAATAACTTTACAAATGCATTTAAGGCTCCTATGTTCATTTCACTCCCTCCTCCCAGAGGTGACCATAAACCTGAATATGGTGCTTACCATCCTGAGCATTCCTTTATATTTTACTACTGATCTTACATAATCCTCTCTTTTTCACAGGGATTATCATCAAATGGAGATGAAAACAATTATATGCCATAGTTCTCAGACATTGGAGTGCCTTTGTAACACTGTAGACCCACTTGTATTTCCTTTCAGGTGATTTCTCACTATGAGGGCCAACCTCAGGACTGAGCCTTTGAATAAAAGCAACTGAGGAGTTGCCAAGAGAGGTTACACAATTTCTTCTGTTTTCATCAAATAAGTTTCAAAGAAACAAAGTTCACACCTTTTCAATAAGTCCTAAGAAATTTAGGGTTGTTGATGGAAGCTCATCAGGAAGAAAACCAAGCTGGGAAAAATCTTTTATCACTGCCTCAAAACTAAGAAGGAGGCTAGGGGACACATGCAAATGAAAAAACATGAATAAACTCACTATAAATTCATTTGTGAAGCACAAGTTTCGAACACTAGGGGCTTTTGACGGCCCAGATGTTGTCTCATTCTTTTTGTGTCACTCAATCTACTTGGAGCTTTTTTTTCCTTCTAATGCTCGAACGCTGATGATATTGTTTGAAATCAGCCCAGGACTAGAGACAAAGATGCAAATGCAGTTATAGAAGCATAAACAGCTGATGCATGAAACTGATACGATCAAGAAAAGCAATAGAAAACTCCTAGAGGCTGTTTTTTTTTTAAAAAAAAAAAAAGACAATGCTGTATCAGAGTCTTTACCGCTGGCTAAATGAGCTGGAAGGACCATTGCTGGAGGGAAAGTAATAATTATTCACATCAACATTAGCTGGGACTTGGGTTAGCTGTGGGCAGCGTACCTTTCCTTTAAGGCACTGGGCCAGAGCGAGGAGAGGGTAGCCTGCTTTGCTGTGACATTCCTCATTTTTCCCCCACCATGCCTGTGGCGTAGTCAGAAGGGATTTCTAGGACCTGGTTCCAAGTCTGAGATCAGATTTGGAATGAAATTCTTGCCACCTTCTGAAATGCCAAAACCCAGCTGGGAACCCTGAGCCTCCATGAAGTGCCACCTTCTGCTGGCTATGAGTTATGTCCTCAGTACCTCCCAAGGCCGTTTACAGAGAATGAAGGCATCCTTGCCAGGGCTGAGATGAGAATGTCTTAGAAAATGCAAGGCAGAGTACACCATTCTTCCACCCTATGGACTCAGAAAAATAAGGCAAAACAAATACCAGTCAGTGGTTACTTTGCATTCTGGGCAAACTCCTAGGATGTGAGACCATCAGGCAAAATGGGCCCTCCAGGCATCAGTGAAATCATCAGCGATGTGAAGAGGAGGCACTAAGAGAAGTAAAGCAGAGAGAGTTCCCATGGTTTTCTGTGCTGATTCCAGCAGTTACTGCCAAAACATTGAGCCCAGAGACACAGGTAAATACCCCAAGTCAATAAATTCTCCTCATCCAGCCTCTCCTATCAGACACCCACAAGACGCCCGCCCTCTTGTGTGGGGTTCCCCCAGGACCTGCAATGCCTTTGGCATCTAAGCTGTTTCCTTCTGTTATGCTGAGACCTTACTTCATCAGCTTGAAATAACAAGGAGTGGAAGGAGCAGATCCTGAGAAAGAACATCTTTCAAGGATCTGCCTTAGGCGAGGTCATTGCACAGTGTGCCAGCTAGAGGACAGGGGCTACTCCTGCTATCCAGGGGGGCTTCAGGGTGACCTGGGGATTTACTGTTCTCAGGTGTGCCCCCCAAATGTCCCCATCCCAAGCTTCAGGGTCCCAGCCATTTCTAGTCAGGGCTTTGACTCTGACATAGGAGACCTCTTTTTTTCAGCCTCTTTTGCAGCTCTGCCACATTTACAACTAGATCCTTACAATTCAATGGAGCCTCCCCCGAAGATGCAGGAGATGAGTCTCCTTTGACAGGTCAAAGAGGCCTTCTGGTGTCAAAGCATGTTATTAGTTGTAAGTTGATTATATCAGCCCATTACTGTCCATTTTAAATTTGTTTTTAAGACATGCAATGCAGCTCACAGAAGCCACAGCACTCCACCATCCTCATAACTGCCTTGCCCCTTACTGCTCAATCAGTCACATGACCTGGGACTTCACCTCCTACCTGCAAAGCATCTCAGTGAACCACAGGTGAAAGAACGCCTGAATAACTGTGATGCTGCTGCATGCCAGGGTGATTACCACCTCCCTGATCATAAACAATGGGGCCCTTAGTGCCATCAGATGGCTGGGTATTCCAGCTGAGGGGCTGTTTATATTCTATACATTTCTCCCCATCGAAACACCCACAGGATCCCCTCCCATACATGTTCTCTTAGGTCCTGTAGTTTCTTTGGCATGTAAGTTACGCCTTTCTAGAGCACTTAGGTCTGGGTTCGCCAGAAGGTGGAGGCTGAGCCAGAGAACATGTAGTTAGTATTTAACCAGATAGAACAAATCCGAAGAGCAGCGGCAAGGAACAAGCTGAGTGAAGCATGGAAGGACTGAGCCAATATACTGATGCATCACTGAACCCGCCACCACAAAGTGTGACTGAATACTTGATTTGCAGGTCTGTATCCCTGAGAATTTTTAAAAGCAGCATTTTCAGGGTCATCCCACATGGGAGAAAAAGGTAAAGAATCTGTCCACTTGCTCCCATGCCTATTTGTTGAATGTTCACTTGTGGGCTGTGAAGATGTGGGCATGGGCACCCCCTGCAGTGCTCAACTAGAAAGGCCTGGGCGGGAAGCAAGGTGCTGTCAGGTTGTACTTGGGTGAAGTTACTCAGGGCCTGCAGAGCTGGAACAAGAGGAGGCAAGACTGAGAAAATACGAACAGGTGTATAAGAGGGATGTAATACAATGGGTTTTCTAAACTTTGAAAAAATTAGAAAGGCAGCATAACACTCAATGGTTCCCAGTGCAGCATCAAAACCTCTGGGCACTGATTAAACAGAGCTGAGAAGCCAATTGGACATCAACAGAGAAATTCAATGTTCATAGCCATGTAGAAAAAGAACCAGTGTTATTTTGAGAATGCCAGAAAAATGAAAAATACAAATTTCTCACCTGCATGTGATATATCTTATTATGTGATCATTCACTGCCCTATAATTAGCGTTTATCCAGTCCATCAACAAATATATTTGCTGGCAAATCCACAATGACTTTTGGCACTTCTGTTATTCATCTTGACATGGCATTGAGTTCTTAAATAAAACAAGTTGCAGAGTTTGAAGGGTGCTATAATTTTCTGTTATATTTGTGGAAAGGTACCTAGAGGCAAATATAATGAAAAATTAGGGGGGAAATGTAGTATATAGTCTAATAATGCAGCCATCTCCACCTCAGGCCACTTCTCTAAAATTAGTTATTGCCTAGACCAGCAGTCAGCAAACTACAGCTCCCAGGCCAAATCCTGCCACTACCTATTTTGTAAATAAAGTGTACTGGAACACAATAATGCTTATTCATGTAAGTATTGTCTGTGGCTGCTTTCCTTACTGCAACAGCAGAGTTGACTCATTGTGACAAAGACCATATGGCCCACAAGGGCTAAAATATCTACCAATCTATCCTTTATAGGAAAAGTTTTCTGACCCCCTAGCCTAGACTGAAGACCCTATGTGAGCTTTCTCTCACAGGTTGAATCTCCATCTTAGCAGTAAGCCAAGGCTGGTAGCTGATCCTTCAGCCAAAAATAAGAAAATTTCTATTCCTAATTACCAAGCTTGTGTCAATACTAGGCTATTTCTTTCATGATTAATCCAGAAGCTGTAACTCCAGTACTGCCGAAACAAGAGATTCGCAAGGTGAAAACAAACATAAAGGAGACACGGAGGCTTTCCCTTCATTTTATCTAAGAATACACTTCTCAGATTCTTCCATCCAAACTTGTATTTAAAAAGATGCTCCACACACTAAGCCCTGACTAAACTCAGGCCACACCCAGGCAAGCCCAGGAATTGTGATGATGTAAGGTAGGTGCTTGGGAGGAAAAAGGAATCTCTTAATGGACTAAGTAAATAACAATTCTCATGCTGCATCTAACCAAAGTTAATAATTTGTATGTTTATTACCCTCTGTGAAGGTGAGGCCAATTCTAACATCCTCCCTGGGTGTAATTTAGGTGCTCTGATGGTTAAACCAACTCCTTCAAGGCACCAGGGGCCAAACTCACTAGTGCTTCTCAGTAAGTAATGTTCCACTATGTTCTTATGTGATTCCAACTCAACTTCTACAAGAAGCAAGATAACCAAAAACATGCCTTTGGGCAAGTAACAAAATATAAGGAGATGTAATTCTGCCAGATGACAAAGCCTCAGAATTTCAATTTGTTGATTCATTGATGGATAAAATTAATCTCATAACTTACTAAATTCTGATGGAAATACAAATTCTGTCATTTTGCAAATTCAGCTGCATCACAGGCCAAATTTTATCCTCAAAAACACAACAATAGATATAACAATCCTGAAAAATCACCTGTAGCCCATAGCATTACTCACCTAGGCATGCTAACAGCATTCTTACTGCTTTCTCTGCTTTCTACTTTCTTCCTCTCCAGTTCTACATACATTTTAACCATGTTATTTTTTTTTTCTTTTAAGTTTTTATTATTTAAATACACTATACTAGAGCAAATGTCTCTGAAAATATCACAAATAAAAGATTTTTTTCTTCATTCAGCAAATTAGAATTGTAGTTCTCCCCTGCTTTAAAGTTTTGCAATGGCTCCCACCTTACTACCTATGCAGACAGATCAAGCTCCTTAGCAATCAGACTCTTCACAGTAAGACCCAAAACTAAGACACCAGAATCATTTCTAGTGTTTCAAGCATGGCCTTTGCCCTGGGTAGATATTACACTGTTCTTTGCTTGGTCAACAAACATGGTAAATGCACAAATCACATTCTTGGACATGTCACCAAGTCACACAACTAGTGCTCAACCACAAAGCAGAGAGAGGTGACGAATGTTGTGAAAAGAAAGAAGAAGGCTGTTTAAAGCCATTCTGAGGACTCATCTCTCAAAACACTGGTGGACCAAACCAAGGAAGCAAAGACCGTGTTGCCCTCAAGCTGCTACTAAATTACACAATCCTTCAAGTGACTCTCCCTGCTGCGTCTCATAGGGCCCTCATTTACTCAGTCTTTCTATCGATTTTCCTTGAGGACATAGCCTGATAGGTCTCGGTCTTGGTCTATCTTCATCTCTCTCTAGACAGATAGGTAGGTTGGTAGGTAGGTACATACATATGTACATATAGATAGATGTCTTCATCTCTCTCTAGACAGATAGGTAGGTTGGTATCTTCATCTCTCTAGACAGATAGGTAGGTTGTATGTACATATAGATAGATACCTCATTCTGTAAGAGATCATCCAGAGGATCTTCAGGGTATTCATCAATATTCATTTATTCATTCAACAAACATTTTAAAGCATTGACTATGTGCCAGACTCTGTATCAATGACTATATGAGTATTCACTACTATATGCACTACCAATGTGCACAGTGAACAAATTCATACCCTCAGGAAGTTCACAGTCCTCTGATTAGCAGCCCTTGCCTAAATTTTCAACATCTGTATTGTTTTCTCAGTTTCCCTATGTGCCCTGGGAGCTTCAGAACAAAATCCCAAATAGCCAGTGTCTAGGGATCTCTAGGCCACCTTAGGGGAGCATGGGCTGGTCAAAGATAAGGGAGGCTCACTGGACTGTAAACTCCAGCATGAACACAGAGCCACAGGGCAATTATAATCAATTCTAGAATAATATTGTCCAAATTTCTGCCACAAATGCTATCCTACCATTTATATCTCAAGAGAAATGCAAGAAGGACCATGCACTTGCTACTTGAAGTGGCTCCTCATTTCAGAGGTTGAGAAAATGAGAGCACATCATTGGAATTCATAAGGAGAAAAAACCATTGCCTTTCCCTATATGTGCTAGTCATCTCACTTATCCTATAAAAAAGTGCAACGGCCTATAATCTTAGATCCCCACCTAGCATTCTTCATTCACCAAATATCTGCAAACCCTGCTAATAATCCTGCTTTCTAAAGGACTTTTGATCATGCATTCTTCCTACACAGAAGCTCTCAAAGGCCATGCCACTGCCTTCGTCCCAGATACCTCACTCCGGAATTCGAGGCCTCCATAACCTGGCCCCAAACTTATCTCCCCGGTACAAACCTCCTGTGCTTCTGAAACTAGTAGCCCCACCATTACCTAACAAGCCATGTCCATTCCTATCATGAGCCTTTTAAATCTCTCCTTTACTTGCCATTCATCAAAATTCCCTAAATCACTCAAAAGCTACCCATAGTACCATGGCTAAGGGGCCTTCCCTACAACCTACTACCAAAATAAAGTGATCTCTTTCTCTCAGGAGCATCAGCTTTGCCATTGGTGCCACTCATCACGGACTGCTATCTTGCTGGTCAGCTTCTCACGTATCTGCCTTATCTTCTAATTAAATTACAAGCTCATTTCTGAATCATGTAGTAGTCTCATTTGCATACTTAGCATCTTCAATGATGCCCTGTTGGGATCCTTAAGAAAAGAGGAAGACCTATACTTCTCATAAAAGAAAACTAAAAAATCCAGGCCGTCCCTGTTAAGGAAAATAGAGATAGTGGAGTCAGAGTCCACATGGAGCTTCCTCGGGCGACCCTGCTGGACACTTTTCTAGGACTCCTGACTCAGCATAGCCAGAGGAAAAAATCCCAAGTGCCAAGTTCCTCCTAATGGTCCACATGGCAAAGAGCCCGGGCTTTGGGATGCACCACTTTATTCTAGACTCTTTCCATTAAATGAAGTCAGACCTCTTGTTCATGTTTATGTAAGAGAGGAGATGCAGGTTAAAATAAGCATACTGAATTAAGTATGTACATCAGTATATTTCCCTCCACGTAAAGTAACGTGGCTCCTACCCCACACCTACACTCCTTTACTGGAATCTCCACAGCACTTGAATCTTGGCATAGAAGGATAGCTCCACAGGATCTTCTCCTTTCATGAAAAATAATAATAATAACCTTTGCACATCAACTAAAAATTTCCCAAAGCCTAACACCTGATTATGCCTAAACTCCATGAATTATTCATGCTGCTTCAAGTGAGAGCCATCAGATTTAATAATGTTCTGAGGGGGCATCTTCCCTAAAATTAAATGGAAAATACCCTCATTTGTCTGCTGAATTGTTTTAAGAACAGGTTATCACAGGCTTTCTACAGTATATGTTGTATATGCTGAGAAACAAAAGAGGGTTCACTGGATCGGCATAAGGGAAATAAATATGAAACCAGAGAGTATTTTCCATATCCACATGGAGCCTGTTTCTATTAAACCCAGGAGAGAATGACACCAATACCAACACATGCAAAACTTAATAAATTAGCTGCACCCAATTATTAAGAAGGCAGCCTTAGGTCATAAAAACGATTTTGTGAAATTGATCTTAAATGAAAAATGTGTAATTACACTTAAAGCAGTTACAGGCTGCTAGTCAATGAAAAATTTATATTTCCTGTGAAGCTGTACCACTTTCTGTGCATATAAAATTAGTTGGACTGGTAGAACTTATATTACAATCGGAAGTGGTTCAAGAGACAGAAACATTTTTCAATATACTTTTCTAAGTGATCCCACAATCTGGCCAGCTATGCACCCAATGTGCGCGTTTTAATTTTATTGCCTTTGGCCAAAAGCCACGTGTTCGGAATTCTAAGCAAGAACTTCACAATACTTTTTAAAGATACAAACGCATTTTTTCTATATGCCTTTTGTTATTCTTTCTTTAAGATCTGAAAGACAGTTTTTAGAAAAAGGTAAAATAACCTAGGGGGAAAAGATGCATACGGATGAAAAGGTCATGGGATTCATCCTTGATTCATTCCTTACCTCACTATTCACATCTCATCCATCATCAACTTCTGTATGTTTCGTCTCCAAATTTATCTCAAAACCATACACTTCTTTTCCTGCCAACGGCCTGGCCCAAGCCACCATGGCACCAGCTTTCAACGGGCCTTTTTCCTTCCACTCTCAACTCCTCCAATTCATTTTTTCCCACAATAGGCTGAGAGATCCTTATGAAAATGTAATCAGATCATAGCACTCGAGCCTTTCAAAGGCTTCCCATCACCCTTATAAACCCAAACTCCTATTGCGGCCCGATAGGCCTCGCTTGGTCTGGCCTCTGGCCCATGCTCAACTTCGCCTGTTTTTGTTCTTTCCCTTCCTCGCAGTGGACCACCACGCCGGCCTCCTTTCCATTCCTGAAGGTCTTCTAGCTCCAGCGCTTTGTGCTTACTATTTCTTTCCTCTGGAATGCTCTGTCTGACTTATACTATCTCAGTCCCCTGCTTATGTTCTGTAGAATAATCATTTATTAATTTGTTTACTTGTTGTGGTCTGTTTTAGCCTTCAGTGAATACAAAAATGTTAAGTAAATGAAATAATATATTTAAGAAATTGTAAACTCATGAAACACTTGCATAAATAAGCAACTAGCTTAAGGGAAGTTCAGATTTAAGCTTGCAATTGTCTGCCAAAATAGAACTAGTCCCTTTCAGGGCTATAATTTCTACTTTTTAATTAACACTAAAAATCACAATGTGTTAGCAAATTTTTTGTTTCTTGTCTGCTTAGAGACACTATTAAAGAAAAAATTCACAGGGTGGTACCATAGAGTAGTGGTTAGCCCATCTGCTTTACATGCAGAAGGTCCTGGGTTCGAGCCCCAGTGGAGCCATGGTCCATACCCCGGGGTGCGACAGGCCCCAGGTGCATGCCACGACCTCCTGGGGGGAGGAGACGCCCCACCTTTAGAGATGCAGTTCTTACGGGAAGACAGCAACATCAGTAACTGGTCAAGGGTGGAAGTGGTGGCAGCAGGGATTTAAATAAATAAGTAAATAAATAAGTAAAAGAAAAAATTCATGCTACTAATAAACACATGCAATTTTTCGGCCTCTTTTATATCGAGCATTTCAAAATACAAATTTACACATAAATCTCACCAGAGATAGCCATTTTAAAAGCTAATCTGTCTTACTTTTGGTCATCCTTTGGTAATCATATATGACTTACCTAAAGTAGTCTCATTATGTAAATTTTAAACATTATTTCCAATACTAAAGGATGGAATCAAGTAATTTACCCACAATATCCACCAACTAACCATACACAGGTTTGCAATACTTAGAAATGGAAGAGATGCAAAGAAGTATAAAACAGTTTCACCCATTCTTGAAACAAAACAAAGATAGGGAGAAGATGTATGAAGGAAAGAATAGGGACTCAAAACAAGGAGACATTACCTTGGAAGGAATGAGGTCACGGCAGCCTTGAGTTGTGCTTTGCAGAATGAGAGGAGAGCAGGGAAACATTCTAAAGGGGGAGGTGGGGTGACCACAGGTGCCAAATACATGTGGAGAGCAGTGAGTAGTTTAGTCCGACTGGAGCAGAGTTAAAACTGGAGAGAAATAGAAAGTCAAGAGACACTCAAGAGTATTTTGGAGTGAAAAGTCTTATTTAGCTGGCAGCAGCTTACCTATCATGTTTTGATCTTGTAATATTAAAGAACTACAGAGGCTTTTGGCATAAGAACACATTAATGGGAAGTAAATGCTCCTGTAGTGAGAAACTGGGCATGTGAGGACCTGTATTACATAGTGGAAGACTATCTCTTATTAAATCAGTACTCAGAAAAAATACATTCCTTTTTAACCTTCAAATTAAATATAGTACACTAATGCAACCTCTTTACAAAATCTTTAATGTGGGGAAACAGGAATTTTAAAAATCTGTCATGAAGCTTTGTTCAGAATGAAGGAATGAAGTAGCCTAGAGAAAACTGTAAAATCACGTATGAAATAATAACCAAATATGATTGAGTTCTAAAATAAACATGCATGCTTATATGTTTCATTATTTATCTAACACTTCATTTTTCAATGTGATTTATCATTATTAAGTCTTAAAAAAAAAAAACCTTTCTCAAATAAGAATGAGGAATTAGGTGACATGTTCAAGGTTACAAAAACAATGTAAACAAATAGTGAGGAAAAGAACTTTCTGAATTCCTGAAACTTTCTTCAGTCTCTGGACCATTTTATAGAGTTGCTAAAATCAGTGGTAGTTGTTACATGTACAGGGTAGAAACAAGTTTCTGGTGGTGTAACCATTAGAAGAACTCTTAGATAAAGATAAAGGCCAGGAACATTCATAAAGATAGAAATCCTAAACCACCTGTCAGAAGTAGGTCCTGAGTAGATTTATACCTGATCCATATCTTATAACTATCTTATTTAGTATTTTGTAACCAAAAGAAATGTATCCTTACTAAATTATTTGTAACATGTCCCCTTAAGATATCAAGAATTCAAAAATTTAATGTTATCTCCTGTGGACTATAACCATTAATCTCAAACATACTAATTGGTTGTCATGGGAAACTGTATTCAACATGGTGTCTATAAATACTATAAAAAATTCCTTCATTCTTTTGTTTGTTGGAAGAGCCTCAAGTCTCTATGCCTCGCTTGTTTTCCTTCAGGCCTGACTGAATTAAATAAATGATGTTCTAATGCATCATTTTTAAATAATGGCATATAAATGATTTTATTTTTGTCAGCATACACACACACAAACACTGACAAACACAATCAGGAATCAGAATAGAGGGTAGCAGAACAGAAAGTATGTCTTAGCTCAAGCTGCTATAACAAAATATATCATTTGGGTGGCTGAAGCAATATTCATTTCTCATAGTTCTGGAGTCCGGGAAGTCCAAGATCAAGTTGTCAGCAGATCCGGGTCTTAGTGAGGGCTCTCTCCCTGGCCTTCTTGCTGTATCCTCACATGAGAGGAAGAAAGGCGGCTCTGGTCTCTTCCTTTTCTTATAAGGGCACTAATCTCATTGTGTGGGCCCACTCTCGTGACACTATCTAAACCTAAATATCTCCCAAGGGCCCAGCCTCCAAATACCATCACACTGGGGATTAGGACTTCAACAATGGATTTGGGGTGGGGGAGGGGGGCAAACATTCAGTCCCTACCAGCAAATTAACTTCTGATAAATCAGTTGGACTCTTCCAGTTTAATCTCAGATTGTCCAACAGATTCCCCCTTCCCCCCACCCCCACCGTGCACTAGTCACTAATCCCAGGAGAGGTCTCTAAACTCTTCTGCCCACTGCATCTCAGTATCAGAGTCACCAAGAAGAAGATAATGTAGCCAAGTACTGGATGGAACAATGCTTTACTTATATTAAAGAGAGATAGCACAAAATCGGCTTCAGTAGTAGTCATCAGTCCTCCATAACCAGCAGGTCTCCGCTGGAGGCCAATGCAGGGCAACTATCCTTTGCAAGACCTATCTTGTGCCACCGTAGAAAGACGCTGTCCCCTCCCCACAAAGGACAGATATAGCAGTGGGACTGGCCAGGTACTATATGATGCACACTCTTTAAGCAGAGACAAAAGAGCATTCTTTGAGAATGAAAGAGGGAAAGATGTTCCCACACAAGGCGATAAGCCCAGGCTGTGTGGGCTCCTTGTCTCTTGGTAAAGAAGTGTTCTAAGCCCAACCAAGTGGGTGCTGAAAGGCTGCATGCATGAGACCGCCTTTCCCATAACTGATCTTTGCCTGCCTTTTACTCTGTTTACCTACATAGCAGATGCACACATGTATAACTCACACCTCACTTTTATAAGGAAGTTTCCCTGGGGAAAAACACTTTACTTTAAAGTGGTTTTACAAGGAAAAACACTTTATGGAAATACAGTACACTTTATACCAGAGAACTCTGAGGGGGAAAATGGTATAAAAGAGCTCATAGAAATGTGTTGGTATCAGCAAATACTAGTACATGATTAGAAACAAACTAGCAAAAGATTTAAATTGAAAATTTTGGTAGAATAACCCAGGTGGTCTTAATCAGCTATGTGGCCCGAAAGGATGACATTTTTGTTGAGAGTACAGATTGGAGGTGAAAATTCTATCTTTTGCTGCAGTATTTTTGTAAGAAAGAGGTACTGAACAAAGGATAATTTTTTACTACATTGGGAGGTGGGTGGGGGATAGAGAAGTGGCTCTTAGGAAATATAAGACATTAAATGGAATGAGTAAATTGTTCCCCTTCCCTTTTACTGAGAGAGCCAAGAAAGAACAATGGAAGCTTGGATAAACCACCCAAAGAAAGGCAACCTCTCAACTCTCAGGACTGGTCTTCTTTATTTCTTTGGTCTACATTCACCTCTCCCTTATCCCGGTCAGTGCAGAGAAATGAGGGGAGGGGTGTGTGTGTGCTGAAGATCGAATGACCTTTTTTGCCTTCTGTTCATGAATCTAGCAGGAATCAGCCTGCAGCTTTGGTGTGAAGCGCAGCAGCTGGGTATGTTCTTTTACTATAACCAGTTCCCATCTAGGAGATGAACTTCCTAAGACCCACAGCGAATGAGCAGTGGAGGCAGCACTAGAATGTGGGCCCCTCTGACTCTGAAGTCTGGGCAGGAAAAAGCAAACCCAAGGAAAGCATCCACCTTCCCCCTCCTATCTCAAGTTCCTAAACTTTTCAACATGCCACAAGCTACATAAAACATTCAATGACCAAGGCTTCAGAACAGTCAAGCACTATGCTGCTTTCCAAAATAGCTGTGAACTTGAGAAACAAATGGTGCACTTTAGTCTCTGAGCATAATTCCACCTTAGTCTCTATATCATTCTAAGTGAAAATGTTTGCTTCATGTGTACCAGAATAACACTACATCTTGCCAACAAATCAATTTGCAATTTCCCTCTCCCTCTGGCAGTTGTCCTTCCTTCAGGCTGTCCAATTCCCAATACAGGCACTTCCTCCTGCCACCCTCACACTTTCATTCTTCGCTTCCTGCTACTCTCCTGTCAGCAAAGCCAAGAACTTTATATATAGCTTACATTCAATACATTTGTAGAACGTATTGAATAAAATACAAGGATTCTATACAAGTTGTTTTGTTCTCTATCCGTGGGATCATATGCTTTCCACTCCCAAATAAAGTTAAACTTTAGATAAATTCAGCAGCCTGTTAATTGCAATTCAGTCACCAGGTACTTTCATTTCCTATCCTGTTCAATACCATATTTACTTTAAATCCATTTACCCCGGGGTAATGCACCGACATTCCAATGTATCTACAGTCTCATTTGATCTTCACTCAGGCTATGCAAGCCCATAATGTACTTTCTGAATCATTCAAGATTAAAGCATATTCGGTATTTATGTAATTGATTGTCTAACTAATAAAACAAAAAAACCTAAATGTGTAATTTGTGCTTTTTCCAGTAGGTATATTGGGTATGATGAAACATTAAATTGCAAAACTAAAAATCAAAAATTAAGTATGACTTTAGAATTAAGTATATTCTAGTCAAGTTCATAAAATACACATACCTCATATAATATATATTAACCCAATGTTGGAATAAACAGAACATTTCTCTCCTATCTATACCCGATAAGAATTCATGATACTTCACAGTAGGTTTTTAAAAAGTGTCATGCAAGTAGATGCACAGTAAATATTTGAATGATCTTCACAGCTTTCCTGTAACATCCTGTATGTCATATTATCTGAATCATAAATTATCTCTGAAGTATGCCTCTCATCTACTCTTTCTGACTATAACTTTTGGAGATCAGGAAATATTGCCTCCTAATTCTTGACATCCCTCTCAACCACTTCCACCCTCATTACCTTCAATATTACCTTGAATTCACTGCCATCTTTTCAGGAAAATGGATGCCAACAAACTGAGGTCTGGGCCAAGTGGAAGGACCCAAGAGCCTGGGCATGAAGAGGTCTATAACTTATCCAAAGGTTACAGGGAGAGGCAGCATCTTGGAAAGAATCCAATCCAAAACCAAGGCAAACCATCCACTTGAGTCATCATCTAAAGAGGCTAGGAATGTAGACTAAGCATCTGAGTGTAAGCCAACAAAATAAAATGAGATCCAGAGTCCTAACTGGCTAGTGGGGATGGATGTACCTGGAAAAATCTCGTACTTTTGAGAAGGCTGCTGCTGTGCCTTTCTTTTTACAGGGTGGCAGTAGCTTTAAATATAGAAGAAGCCAAAGAAGTCATCAACTTGACAAGGGTACTTTTCTTTCAAACAACAGAAGGTAAAAAAGGAGGGATTATCTGTTATAATTCTCTTGAGAAATGCCATTGGTATTTCTCACAGAACTAGAACAAATAATCCTTAAATTTATATGGAACCACAAAAGACCTTGAACAGCCAAAGCGTAGTCTTGAGAAAGAAGAATAAAGTAGGAAGTATCATGTTCCTTGATTCCAAATATAATACAAAGCTATAGTAATCAAAACAGTATGATATTGGCACAAAAACAAACATATAGATCAATGGAACAGAATAAAGAGCCCAGAAATACACTAGATTTATATGGTCAATTAATCTATGACAAAGGAAAATAGAAT